CGGCCCACCGCACCTCCGCACCCCCGAACCCCCATACACCTACATCCCCGCATCCCCGGGGAGGGCGTCACGGGCTCAGAGTCATGCAGTGTACTTAGCGGAATATTAATACAGATTGATTTTCTTTTCGGGATTCGGCGGGAGTCCGCCCCAGATGAGATAACCTATTTGAGATGAATTCCAGCTCTGCTTCCCAGCACTTGCTGGGTGCCCTTCAAGTAGAATCACTGTTTTAGGGTTGTTTCCTCGTGAACTTTGATGCAGGATTGATTGCTCTGTTGACCTCAGCTCCGAACTTTCCCCCTAAATCATACTTTGACCGCCAGTTTCCCAAGAGACAGTACCCAGCCACCTCTGCATTCTGGGTAACTGGACTTAGTAAAGGAAGTTTTATTTTGATTTTGAAAATGCTCAGAAACCTTGAGCTTCTAGGGACCCCCCTCCCCTTTTTACTAACATGCTGCAGGATAGAAGCACATGCTTACTGGTCCCGGGAAGGAACAAGTAAGTTCCCCGTGACATTAGTTCTGCAAGAGATTTTTAAGGAATTCTGTTCCTCTAGCGCAAAATTAGAAGCAGCCTTCAGGGAATCAGCATTCATTAAAAATGTATCTTGTATTTGCTTCTGCTACGCCCTCGTCCCCCCTCTAGTCCAGTATCTTCTGGAATATTGGTCTTAGTTTGAATGATTGGGCATGTTCACTGGAATGTGAATTTTAAGTCGGGTTTTATACCCATAGCAAGGATTTGTTTAGGGAACATAAAGCGACAGGGTCATTTAAATAGCTGCAGTGTCTTGTGCAGAAATAATGTCAAAGGTAAAGTGATATCACAAATTCATTTCCTTTTGCTCAGGAGTGCGATTATGTTTATAATTATGTTACGAACTCGACTGTTAGTGTAGTAGGGAATGCTTATGTCGCCTAAGTCACTGCTCCCTCAAAATGCTTGTCAGTAGGAACCAGAAACTTAGAGAGCATTTTAGGCTCTTTGGTGGAAGAACACTAAATACAGATAATTTGGGAGGTAGACTATCTCCATCTTAGTAATAAGCCTCCAGTGAAACTGAAACGTGGTTCCCTTCCATCTGTAGGTGTGGATTTCAGTCACTGCCTGCATGATGGGTGCTCTTTGTTTTCTGAGTGATGAGGATTTTTAGAAGAGAGCTATGGATGGCTTTTTTACACTTTGAACCAGGTTGGGTTTGGCTTACGGAAAACCTGAACTGCTTTTTTAAAAAATGGGTAATTTAGTTTTAGCTTTGAAATGAATCTGTGTCCGGATGAAGTAGATACAATTTTTTAAGTCCTGTTTTAGAAATTAAAAAAATTTGTTTGTATTCCACATATTAGTGGAAAGCTTTTATCCTTAGGGATTTCTTGGTAGTTCAGAGGATTATACATCCTTTGGGAACAGATTGAGAATTCTAAATAGATAGATAGATACATAGATAGATAAGATAGATAGATAGATAGATAGATAGATAGTTTTAATTTCCTATCTACTCCAGAACCTTCAGCTTATTTTCTTAGGTAGTTTAAATATCTTTCGGAAGACTCATGTGGAAGTTTCAAGTATAAATTCACAAAATCCTGTTTACATTAATCATATGGTAGATTTTTAAAAAAAATATATTTTTATTGATTTCAGAGAGGGAGAGAGAGATAGAAACACCAAAGATGAGAGAGAATCATTGATCGGCTGCCTCCTGCTGGGGATTGAGCCCGAAATGGGCGCCTGTGCCCTTGGCAGGAATGGAACCCAGGACCCTTCAGTCTGCAGGCTGACTCTCTATCCACTGAGCCAAACTGGCTGGGGTTGGTAGATGTTTTTATGCTGATGGTCACTTCTGTCAGTTCAGTCCTAATTCATGTGATTAATGCTCTGTGGGGAATAGAGTTAGGAGCACAGATTTGTTTGAAAGCTAAAAATGCAGAAGTCATTCCCTAAGGATGTACATCAGATTCGAAGGTATCCTGAATTGGGTAGTTTGGTATTTTTAGGGATTTATCTGTCTTTATTGTGTTTTCACTTCTGTGGAAAATTTTGTGAACATCTTTGTCCAGACATATAATCACAAAAGATTTGAAATCACAAAAGATTCTTAGTTTAAGAATCTTTTCAGAAGAGTTTTGGAAACTAGCTTATAGCACTTAAATGGAAACCCATTTAGCATCATACTTATTAAAAGATCCCTTGAAATCACCTGAAGGAAGTGTTCATTTAAAAAAAGGTCAGTTTTAAGACATACGTTTTGTACTCTGCTGTTAAATTGATCTTGTTTTAGGCAAGTAATTGTATTTGTGATCATGGTTCTTGTCTTGAACTTTATTACTAAAATGCATTGGGGATATGACAGAGCTAATATCAGGTGAGTGACTAATGCCCATAGATGATGATAAGTTAGTATCTTCTAATTGTATATTTATATTTTTAACATTTATATGTGTTAGGGATCATTAGCAGAGGAAAATGCCTTTTGCTGAGTCCTGTACTTTTTTCTAGCATAGGGCTATTTTTCTTTTTTCCCTTCTGACATTCAATAAATAATTATTGATCACTTACGTATGTTGCAGGCACTCTTTAGACCCTAGGGCATAGCAGAGAAAAGCTTTGCTTTTATGGAGTTTACATTTTAATTATTTTCCTTCTATTCCTATTTTAGTTAGAATTTTTATTAGGTTAGGTTGGTGAGTTTTATAACATCCTAGAAATTAAAAAAAACCCACATTTTTATGAAGCTAAAAACCTTAATAGGGAAATAAACCAGCATATTAAAATCTAGAAATATATGACTCCATTGGTTACCGGTAATAATGAGTAACGCTGTCACATATATAAAGATGCTATTTGTGACCCACCAAAGGGCGGATTAAGTTCTGTTTCCCAGGTAACTAGTGGCAGCAACTAAAATATCTCCCCCATAAACTTGGTGCCTTTGCCTTCTTACTTTGACACCTATCTTAGCATCACAAAGTGGTGCATTGCCCCAGTTTGATTTTTTAGTACATTTTGACTTTGAAGCTCTCTGTTTAGTGACCCTACATGTTAAAGCCACAATTCTCTAGAGTCTGGACAACAGCATTTTTGCCATGCATTTTAAGTGGATGCCATCTCTCTCCGCTTCTCACATTTATAAGTGTTGCACTCATCACACTGAAAAACTGGCCTTACCTGGCCTTACCCTTATACAGTCTTTAGATTGGTGACCAGATAAAATGACCTGCATGAGGTCATGAAAGGAGGTCAGATTGATCACTTTTATAGTGGCCTTGAACAGGGCTCTGCTCTTGCCTGTATGGTGCCTTCAGGTGAATTGGAACAAGATACCTCTTGGGGCAAAAGAATCCTTCCTCCTGAACAGACACAGCCTCTGGGTGCAGAGTCTAGTGCAGAGCCCATGCCAGGGTGCTTGGCAGCAGGAGCATGGGCTGGCTAGGAGCCCTTGTCCTGTGCAGAAACGGCGCTCCTGTATGTGGTGGTCCTGCCATGAAGTTGAATAATCCCCAGTGTTTCTCTACTCTGAGACCATTTTTTGCATTTCCAGATGGAAGCAGGACTTAGAAATGTATGTGTTTGGGCACAAACGGGAACAAATGGAAGCACGAGAGTCCATCTCTAGTGTCCTACTGAACACTGTGACGAGGGAGCGGCATGCACAGATGATTAAAAACACTTCACCCTGATGGGCACAGTCCGGTGGGAGACACAAATCTGTATGTAAAAGTGCGAGGAATGCCACATTGGCAGCATTATAAAGCCCTGTGCTCTGTACCAGGGGTCCTCAAACTTTTTAAACAGGGGGCCAGTTCACTGTCCCTCAGACCGTTGGAGGGCCAGACTATAGTTTAAAAAAAAACTATGAACAAATTCCTATGCACACTGCACATATCTTATTTTGAAGTAAAAAAAACAAAACGGGAACAAATACAATATTTGTATTTGCATGTGGCCCGCGGGCCGTAGTTTGAGGACCCCTGGATTAGACAGATAGGCACTTATATCTGCCTAAGGGATGAGTTGACCTAGGAAGAAGGTTGTTTAGGATAAAGAGTTTTGATGAATAGTTGTGGGTGGGGCGAAGATAATTTCAAGTCAAAATAACTTGAAAGAGGCATAGAAAACAATTGAAAATTGAAGGTATTTAACACAGTAATAGATCATGTTAGTGATAATAATATAAAAGTGTTTTCAGCTCTTTAAGTCTGATTCTAGTTACTTATTAGCAGATATTGAGTTTACTGTAAATCGGTGTACATGCAATGTTTGCTTTTTTATTAACTTTATTCAGTTATTATTTGATGATGGGGCAGGTTTGTTGCATCTTTTTATTAAAGCAAGAGGTCCTAACTGTTGTAATTCTATTTTAGATTATAGCATTTGATGAGCTGAAGACTGATTACAAGAATCCTATAGACCAGTGTAATACCCTGAATCCTGTAAGTTATAATATCGGAGTTTTCTTTAGATTTTAAGACCGTTTTTGCTTTTAACTTGATATAATTTGAAAATGGCCAATATTCTCAGTAGCATGGTATATTTGTACTTTTTGAAACAGACTTTAAAAAAATATTCTTTTTTCTGTCCTGCTTGACTGTTCTGACTATTATTAATCTGCTGGTGATCTTGTCAGCTGTCATACTAACATTCTTCCAATCTGCTTTTTACATTGTCGGCCAAAGACAGTTGAAAAGGTCAAAAAGATTAAAAGAGTCAAAATTGCATTAAAGGTGTGTACTGCTTTTTAGTTTAATGTTTTCCTGCTACATTCATTTCATGGGGAGGGTTAGGGCATTTGTATTTGTAAAATGTTCTGTTCAGTGTGCTCGTTCATATGCCTGTTGAGGTTTATGCTTTCATGAAATGTCGTATTTTATGCAAATGCTTGCTGGCCCTGTCAAGTAGGGAAAGCTGTTAAATGCTTATGCATTTTTAAAAAAATATTTTAGTTATAGGCACTTCTATGTTGAATTATTTGATGCAATGTTTGACAGTTGGTTAACATAAAATGACTTTAATAGATGGTAAGATTATTTACCTGTTGTTAGTGTGAGGGAGTCTTTAGTACCCTATCTAGTTTTATCTTTAATTATGTCTGCTCTGGAATTAATTCTGTTTCAGCTGATGTTTATTCAGAGCGTTTTAGGTAGATAGCTCTGTTCTTTGGCTCTGGAATCTTGCAGTAATGCTGACCTCTGGACTCATGCTGCCAGAATTTTGTGGATAATTTGTATACAATTATCTACATAGTTATTTCTAATACATATCCACTCTAAATTTCTAAAACAGACCTGTCTTATACTAGGTTTTGATGGGTTTAATTATAATGTAATTCCATTGTGCTTGGGGGTTCTCTCTATATTTTTACTTCATTTACTTACCTCATTTAGAAAGATTCCCCTTCAGCCTGTAGGTTTGATTTTACCTAGCTGGTCAGAAACTGAAAGGTGGTTTGTAAGAAAGCAGTGGGTACTTTAAGATATAGTATACTATAATTCATCTTTAAAAATTACTTCATGAAGATGAGAGCTTGTGTAGACTTCAGTTGTATAAAACTGTAATTCACTAGCTTGCTGGAGGGATTTTATTTGGAAAAGGATCTATAACAGCGATTTTCAACCAGTGTGTAGCAAGAGTTTTTAAAACATGCAATACATGACTATTTAGGGCACTGACCTCTTCTCCCTTAGATTGCCAAATAAAAAATGCTAAAACAGTAGCCATCGGTGTGAATGAATCAAAATTATAGCTATTTTTTTTTCAGATAGGCAAAATATATCGTTTTTAGTGTGCCACAGAATTTTAGTAATTAGTTTATGTGTGCCACAAGTTGAAAAAGGTTGAAAGTTGCTAGTCTGTAAAGTTAGTTTGCTACTTTATTATTGTTTCTTAGATAAATATGAATGATGGAATAGATTTCTAGTTTGGCTTTAAAGAACTGTTACAGTATGCCGAGTATATACATTTAAAAAGTATTAACTTACTAATTGTTTCTCTGCTCTTATGAAACAAAATATAAGATGATTGCCTTCTCATTGGAAAGTAATAATGTTCATTGGAAAACATCTTAACACACTGTTACAAGAAATTTAGAAACTGAAGTTTCTCCTTTGACAGTTGTTTAATATTAGTGTTCTGTCTTTGTGTTTTCACTACTTCAAAAAAGCAAATCATGATGAGAATAATAATAGCTGAAATCAGATGAGTGCTTTCCTGGGTCCCAGGCTCTGAGCTGAGCATCTTATCTTGGGTTTTGTCACCCAGTTCTCATGACAGTTTATTTTCATAAATAGGAGAGTAAACTGAGGCTTAGCAAGATTAAAGCGCCTAGCTCAAGGTTACACAGCTAAGTTATAACCAGAATTTGAACCTGACAACCTGATTGTTAAGCTTAAGCTCTTGTATTTTCCTACTTTACTATAAATTTAAGAGGGAATAATTTCATTTTAACGTGTGATTTCTGGCTTTTCTTAAAATGGAAAGAAATTCTCATTTAGAGATGTGTTTGAGATATCCTAATGCTGCAATATGTTGGGAGGAAGTTTTTATACAAACACAGGTTGTATTTCGGATAGGGTGCCGATAATTGGCTTAATAGCAGTGCATCTGACAGTTTTCCCTATTAAAATTTTGTTTTGACAATTCTGCCAAAGTATGAGGGAAGACAAATACCATTATTTTTAAAAATGTGAGCCTTAACTAGAGAATATATTGATTTGTATGTTAAAGTGCTATCATTTCCGCCATAGTGCATGGGGTATTTTTTTCTGGAATTTTTTGTGTAAATGTTGTTTCCTAAGTGGAATAACTTTTGTGCCACTTATGGGAAAATTTTGTCATTAAAGAACAATCAGAGAGGACTGGTTTTTATGATAGGTGCATAATAAAAGTTTCTGGACTTTTTTTTTTAGAAGGAGTGTGGCATTTGTTTTCATATTAGAACTGGTAGAATTGCAGATTATTTTCACTGTTACTAAAGTATATTGTTTAAGATCAGTAGGGATCATACTTTCAAAATCATTCTCTCCCCATACCTCAGCCTGTAAAGTGTAGGGCAAAAACTTGGGCGAGAATTCATATTGTTAGATATTAATGGGCTTTTAGAGGGCCAATTTTAATTTTCTTTATTTAAAAGAAAAATTCCATAATTTAAACTAGGATTGTAAACAGCAGCTGTAGTGGAACTCCTAATAAAATGTCTTTTTTTCTTGGTTTGTCCTGGTTGTAGTCAGAGTTTTAAAGATTTCCTATGGACATTTTCTTTAGAGATTGTAGATGTTTAACTTTGATGTTAAATAAATGCTAGCTTAAAGGTTCATGCTATTTACAAGTTTATATACTTAAGTTTGTAGACAATACCTGGTGGGTGGTGTGGAAAAATTAGTTTTATTGGGATTTCATTTAAAATAGTAATTCATTAAAAACTTCTCTCTATAACTTTAAATTGGGAAAAGGTAATTTGGAAGTATTAGAAAATCAGCTTGAATGTAGAGCATAACTATTATTTCTACAGCTATGGTTTCCCCTTAGGAAAGATCTGATAATGTTGAAGATTCATATAATTTTAATTTGGTATGATGCAAACATTTGAGAAACTGCTTTGCAGCTGTAACTTGTAGGAAGTTCTTTGACTGCAACTTGCAATGACAGGTGTTATTTAAAAAAAAATACATCTTTATTTATTTCAGAGAGGAAGGGAAAGGGAGAGAGAGAAACATCATTGACGACAGAGAATCATTGATTGGCTGCCTTCTGCACACCCCACACTGGGGATCCAGCCTGTAACCCCAGCATGTTCCCTGACTGGGAATCGAACCGTGACCTCCTGGTTCATAGGTCGACGCTCAACCACTGAGCTAGCTGGCTGGGCTGTGTTGGTATTTTTATTTATAAAGTCATTAGGCTGAAATCTTTAGGATGAGAAAGATAATTTAAAACAAAGCGTTAACTCCTGGTCATTTTATAAAAAGCATTTTGCTTGAATTGATTTTTTCTCACTTAATACTACCTACTACCAAAAGATTTAGTTTGTTCTTGAGTTCTGAGCTTCTACTGGTCTGCCCTGTCTGTAGCCTTTCATTGGAAAGCAGGCTTAAAGAAACAGGAAGGCCGTGTAAGAATGGAAGCGCAGGAACTGGGGTAAATTCCAATTTCTTGGGTCAGAGCTCAGTCTTTTCCCTCCTACATTGCAGAAAGCACATCGTTTGTATTTGTGCATATTAGTATTCTTTCCTCCCTGACTGTGCTGAGATTATTGGCTGTTGGCTTTCCATTGAAAAATTACTTGGTGGTAATGTGATGTGGTTTGTTAAATACAGTATATGTAGCATTCTGGGTTTCTGTTAAAGGCTTAAAAACACTAATGTTTAAACTTCTAAAGGGGAGTTTTGTTTTTGTGGATTTTTTTTTTATATCATGTTGCATGTGATCAGATATCTCATTTTTGTAATTTTATCATTATTGAATGGTGGAAAGAAAAAGTATTCCAGTTGATTAGCAAATAACTAAACAATCTGGGTGGTAACTTTGTATAATATAACCTATTGCTTTAAGAATTTGAGTTTTAAAATTTAGGTTTTATGTTATTCTTTTAGTGCAAGCTATATCCTCTTATCAGTTTGCTTATAATCCTGCTTTGGTAAAAAGTTAAATATGGGAATGAAATTCAGTAGCTTCATCTTTGAGTCTAAGAAAACAGTAATTTTTCATTATGGAAACTTGGTTGCCACCTGCTTTCCAAGTTAACAGTTGATTGAACGCCCAGGCATTTTGATGACTGGCTTGTGTTTTTCTTCCAGCTTGTACTTCCAGAGTACCTCATCCATGCTTTCTTCTGTGTCATGTTTCTTTGTGCAGCAGAATGGCTTACCCTGGGCCTCAATATGCCCCTCTTGGCATATCATATTTGGAGGTAATATTTAGATACACTTCTAATACTTGTCCTAATTAAATCATATTCTAGTCTTACTTGCTAGTTACCTAAATAAAAACTGGAAATTAGTTGGCCTTTATTTTAAAAATCAAGTGGATGAGCAAATAACTGATTTACTACACCTCTTAGACTCTAGAGCAGCCGTGGGCAAACTACGGCCCGCGGGCCAGATCCGGCCCGTTTGAAATGAATAAAACTAAAAAAAAAAAGACCGTACCCTTTTATGTAATGATGTTTACTTTGAATTTATGTTAGTTCACACAAACACTCCATCCATGCTTTTGTTCCCGCCCTCCGGTCCAGTTTAAGAACCCATTGTGGCCCTCGAGTCAAAAAGTTTGCCCACCCCTGCTCTAGAGAGTTTGCTTTATTACTCTTTAAAGGTGTTTTTTTAATGAGGCATAGCTTACATACAATACTGTGCAAAGTCTGAAGCGTACAGCTCAATGAATTTATATATATGTATACACCCGCGAAACCACCACCAGATCGAGACATACACCAGTTCCAGCCCCAACCCAGCCTGTTACCCCTGTACTTCCCAAAGAGAACTACTGAGTTCTAAAACCTTAATTTTGCCCTTCTTTGAACTTCATATAAATCCAAATGTACAGTGTGTATCTAACTTCTTTCTCTATGTTTTATGACTTTAATGTGGTTATTTATAAAAGATACTCATATTTCATAACTTTTAAAAGTTCTACCTGATCTACGTAGAATTAAAAGTTTTTTGTCTTAGATGTAAAAATGACATTGCCGTTGATTTTAGGAAATATATACTGAAGAAGTGTTTAAGAGTAAAATGGTATTACATCTATAGCTGACTCTGAAATGGTTAAAAAAAAAGTATGCATATTTAGAGATAAAATGAGAGAGAGAAGGATAAAGCAAATATGGTAAGTGTAAACATTTGGAATGTCTGGGTGAAGTGTTCTTGTATCTTTTCTGTAAGTAAAATTATGTTAAAATAAAACGTTAAATCTTATATCCTTTTTACAGTTATTCCTGTTTTTCTTGGATTTGTGATAAAGTGTAGAGGAGACCAGATGTGACTTCTTTAGCTGTCCTGTTCTGCTCATTTAGGGGCTGTAGTTTTAAAATTAAGGTGATGAAAGGAAAGAACTCCATCTCTAAAAGTATCATTTCCTATGTGACCAAACATGAGGGAAAAACCCTCCTTCCCATCCTGAAGGGTTGCTCCCTTTCTGCGTGGCTGATAGACTGTGTTTATTACAGGTATATGAGTAGACCAGTGATGAGTGGACCAGGACTCTATGACCCTACAACCATCATGAATGCTGATATTCTAGCATATTGTCAGAAAGAAGGATGGTGCAAATTAGCTTTTTATCTTCTAGCCTTTTTTTACTACTTATATGGGTAAGTTTAAAAAACAAAATAAAAATGTGATATTTCAATTTGCTGTCTAAAAAGTTTGGAGGCATTATGATCTTAACACCTTAGAATACACTTGAAGGATAGCTCAGTGTCTTGAATGTTGGTAACTAGTAATGACAGTGCACACCCGCCAGTTCACATGGAATATGAATATACTGGTACTTGTCAAAGTACCAACTGACAGCCAACTGGTGTGCTGTCAGAAGCAGATAGTTTGGCCAGGCATGCTACTTCCTAAGTTTTCAGGTTCATTTAGTTAGTGAAGGACCATCCTCATTCTTCATGGTAAGGTGGTAAGGTGATGGCATTGGGAGGATATGGCTTGGTGAGTTTGCCAAAAAAAAAAAAAATCAGTCTCGAGATTGTGTTTAATTTTTTTTCTATCATGCTTCATAAATTGTATATGCTGTGCCCTTTATCTTATAGTTTGCTTGATCTGAATTTGATGAATGAAAGAAACAGTTCTATGTTATAGGATGGTGTAATTATCAATTTTTCTCCCTTTCTACCATGATAGACTGATGCATTCCTTTATACTAGGGTTTCTCAATCTTGGCACTGTTGACATTTTAGGCTGGGTAAATCTTGGTTGTGTGCATTGTAGGACACTTAGCAGCATCTGTGTCCACAGCCAGTAGCATCCCCTCCCCCAGTTGTCTCCTATGGTGCAAAATTGGCCCTGCCTGAGAAGCACTGCTCTGAGTGTACTGTAGGTGAAATAAAATGGCTACTTATTAAAACTAGAAAAGGACATTGTCAGGTGTGGAAGTATAACTTTAAGTGGTATAAATAAACTTTTCTCATCTTTTATTGATTTATACTCAGCTAGAGAGGGCTTTCCATCTGATTTTCAAAATCTTGGGGGAAATTAGCTATATGAGATGTAATTGTTATAACTAGCTTCCATTTCCTCTCCTATTTGTTACTTGAAAACTTGCTAAGTATTATATTGCAAGTTTATATTCATAGTTCTCTTTATATCATATAAATTTCATTGTAGAAAAGGACGCACGAAAGGCTTGACTGGAATGTGCCTTTAGAGGTTATAATTGTGAAAATGAGTATCTCTTTTACTGTTATCTACAGATGTCACTCGCATGTGAAACAAAGAAAGCGAATCAGTTCTGAAAAGTGAAGTTCTGTGTGTCATCCCAATTTCTTGTTTTTATTTTTAAGTTTCTGTAACAAATGTCTAGGACAGTGCTAGCGGATAGTAGACACGTAAAACTTTATTGAAAGAAATGAATGATTGTATCAATCATTGGAGATGTATAGTGTGGGAAAATGTTCACCAGGAGGTGGTGGTACTAGGACATTCATTTCCGTTTTAAATTGAGTTTGCATACCTCCTTGGTTTGCGTTTTCATTTAGAGATACATGGTTCTGAAGCATGCTATGCCTACATAGCATGTAGAATTGTCTGGCAGTCTTTAAGCCTAAATCAAATGGATATTGCTTTTCATTTTGCTTGTTTGTCCTTTTTTCTTTTCTTTTTTTTTTTTTTTATTCCCTGTTGCTGTTGCCTAGAGCCTTTCTCTAATGGGAAAGTTCCTTAACTGACCATTCCTATCTGTAAAATGGGGTTAATAGTAGTACTCACCTCTTAGGAGTGTTTGGAGCATTCAAGGAGGTCATGTATGAAGATCTAACAGGGCCTGGCAGGAAGTGACCCCTTGGAGACTCACTTCTATTAATAGACTCAACTCCCAAGTGTGGTATTTTGGATTTCTCTAAGCTCAGATCCCCCATTAAGCTTTCAGCTGTGCTGTTCTACTTGCTAAAATGGGAAAGGAACAGGGAACAACTATAGTACATGCACCAAGCTAAGTCCTACCGTAGGCAAAAGTCCATAATTGCCAGTTAAAATCATGTTTGAACTTACTGGTCTTTTATGTTCTGTGATGGTGTAATACCACAGACTTGCTTGCTATATAGAATAGACTCAACTTTTTGGTGCTCTTAGTTTTTATAATGAGGAATGTTTGAATTAACAGCCTTTTCCTTCTTTTCAGCATGATCTATGTCTTGGTGAGCTCTTAGAACAACACACAGAAGAAGTGGTCCAGTTAAATGCATGCAAAAAGCCACCCAATGAAGGGATTCTATCCAGCAAGACCCTGTTTCCAAGAGTAGCCTATGGAATCTGACCAGTTACATTAAAAATGACTCCTTATTTTTTAAATGTTTCCACATTTTTTGCTTGTGGAAAGACTGTTTTAATATGTTATACTCGGATAAAGAATTTAAATGAATTACGTATAAATTAATGTAAAATGATTACCTCTGGTGTTGACAGGTTGGAACTTGCACTCCTTAAGGAACAGCCATGATCCCTTGAATGATTGCATTAATTATTGTCCTTAGTCCATTGGAAGCTTTTGTTTATAGGAACTTGTTTTGGTTTTAATGAAATGCCATCTAATTACAAATAGCTGTAGATGACCAGGTGCTTCTGATGAACTGAAAATATATATCTGATCTGTGGGAAACTTCATGGATTTCCTCATCTATCATGTAGACGATTATATAGGATACATTAAAAAAATAAGAAGAGTGGGATTTTTCCCCCCTTTAACTTGAATATTATCCCTGTATATTGCATGAATGAGAGATTTCCCATATTTCCATCACAATAATATACTTGCTTTAATTCTTAAGCATAAGTGAATATATAAAAACATACGCTGAATTACTTATGAAGAATGCATTTAAAGCTATTTTAAATGTGTTTTAATTTGTAAGACATTATTATTAAGAAATTGGTTATTATACTTACTGTCCTAATCTGGTGGTAAAGGTAGTCTTAAGAGTTTGCAAGTACTTCAGATTTATAAAACGGTATGAAAGAGAACATTGTATAACTGCCCTGCTGTTCCTTTAGTGCAATACAATAAAATTCTGAAATTAAGACTTTCAGTGCATTGTTTTAAAGATTACAAATAGCAATTTCATAAACTTGCTTAACCCAAAATAAAGACATATTACTGTCAGTTTTTTAAAAAATAGAGTATTACATTGTTTTTTTGTTTAATACCACGTCTGGATCTAAAAAGATTTTTAAGTGACTAAACACATTATCTTCTGTTGTCACTTGTCACGATTCATAACCATTGATGGCACAGCATTGTCATTTTTCTTACCAACTTAAAAAAATTGTAGCACTTATAAGTTCTAAATTTTTTTTTGCCTTTTTGAAACAGCAGGTTTTAAGATAAAATGACTTAATTTTTGTTTAGGCAGTTAAATTATGGCTTGCATGTTTTCATAAGCATTTTTGTGCTGCATTTGGGATGAGGAAGTTAAGGCAATTGAAAATAGTGTAAGTGGATAAGTTTCTTAAACAATGAAAACCAATATATAGAAATTGCATATAATGATCAAGGGTGTTTATGGATATCTTTGTAGAAATCTAAGAAAAATGCTTCCTCACTTTTGGGAGAGTAGCTGTCACAGCTTGGGATTGGGTAATGGAGGAGAATAATGTTGAAGAAGAGGATGTAGAAACAGGAGAATGAGAAGAGTCACACCATTTCATAATGAGAAGCTTTACAGACCTTGTATATTACAGCCTGGGGAACACCTCGAGGGAACTGACTGTTGGTCAGTTCCTGCAGTAAACTATTTGCAGAGCACAGCTAGGCATTGAAAATTCATGCTCTGAATATGAGGAGTCATTCAGTTTCAGATCCACCTGATTATATCAGTACCTACTCCTGATTTTTCTTTTTTGTTCACAACTACTTGTGATCATGAGAGACCCAGCCAAGTCTATCCACCAGATAGGTTTCCTGGGGCTTTCATAAATAATCCTGTCCAAGTATTTTCAAAACCTTTATAAGTTTTAACAAATATCCTTTTAATAACGTATTCTGGAATATTCAGGATTAATGCAGGGTTTACTGGTTGCAATTTGTGGAAGCCACCTTCTCATGCTTTAAAAACCAGACATGTAGTCCTTAGTTGATTCCTCAAAGATGACTGACCGTGAAGATCACCCATCTTGGTGGTAGGTTGTTGGTTCCTAGGCATGTAAGTGATTAGAACATTGAGTACTTGGATGGTCTCTCAATATCTACTCATCTTTACCTTTTCTAGTGTTTTATGCAATTTAATCCCTTACAGGAGAAAGCGGAAACAAAATTGCATTTGACAATATCCCATTAACTCTTTCCTTGCTCTGAATTTAATTTGTGCCCCTTCTCCCCCCACCTATTAATCTGTTTGTTTTGTTTTGGATATTTTTTCCATTGATTTTTAGAGAGTGGAAGGGAGGGAGAGGAGAGGAGGAAAAGAGAGAAAAAGCATTGTGAGAGAAACATCGATTGGTTGCCTCCCACATGTACCCTTGACTGGTAATTGAACCTGAGACCCTTCAGTGTGCAGGCTGATGCTCTAACCACTGATCCACATTGTCCGGGGCCCCTTTAGCCTTACTTATATTATTCTTGCAGGTCCAGTTGAGGCATAGTTAGCCTGAGTTATAATCCTTCAATAATTCCTCTGCAGACAGCTGTTTAAATACTCTTTCCCTCCTTGTTACAATTACTTTTGATATTAAGTGCTTTATCTTTAAGAGGTTTCCAACTCAGAAACCATTACTGTAACACATTGTGACTTATGTTTACACTAACAGCTCTTTGTTGCTATGGGTACTATAGATTCTCCTGAGTTAGAAATCTTATATAACAAATGTAGTCTATTTAGGAGCTATTCTCTTGAGTCATACTACTATATCATGGGTAGAAACTTATTTGAATGCCAATATCTGAATTTTATTAGTGGTGGTTCTTGATTTTCATAGTGCTCAACTGATTTCCCCACCCCTGTCCCAGAGTAGAGGAGAGTTGGCTCCTAGGCTATATACAAACTGCTTATTTGTTTGAAATTTAAATTATTTTCCATGAGAAGGGGGCGTGATAGGAAATGATCAGACATCCACTTTTGACATGTACCAGGTATTACTAAAGCATTTGAGAAACACCATGGATTAAAACATAAACTGTCAGACCTACCATCAGGTTCAGATACCCTGATAATGGTCTCTCACAAAGTGTGTCTGTCTCTTAAAGGTGGTTCAGTATTTTTCATCTTGAGGACCACTCATGCGAACAGCTCTCATAAGAGCTCTTCTCTGCTCCTCAAATCAGCTTTTTTTTTTTTTAATGTCAGATATTTGTATAGAAAGGAAATAGAGCTGTAGATATACTTTGAAGCTAGCAAAATATTTTCTTTGGTACAACACTTCTCTTTTCCTCAGGTTATATGTTTATGATCAGTGTTCATGGAATGGTATTGCCATGGTGCAAATAATGACTTCTGTTGTGTCTGTTATACCCAGCAGGGGGCTGGGCTTTCATCTTAGGTGTGGCTACAGCATAGCATTGTGATACATGGAGCCCATTCAAGTACTGATCTGTATTTTAAAAGTACACATCTAAGTTTACTTGTTTATATAATGTAATACCCACAAATGTGCATCTCCCAATCAGTTGTATAGTATAATTGTAAATCAGAAATTCTGATAGCAAAAATATTTTAAAACATTCTTTTCAAAGGGGAAAGACAAAAATATTGACACTGTGTCTAGTAATGTTCATGAAAGTACTCATAGTCACTCTTTTTGGAAACTAATAATAATGTTAGTCTCAAATAATTTTTTTTGCTCAAACCAATCATTGATCTGTAGTCAGACCAGCAGCTAATGAGTCTCTGGGACTAATATATAGCTCAGAAGTTGGTTCTGAACTAATACTCCAGGGTGACGTCAAGAGCAAAATGTGGTTCTATTTCTGGATATGTTGAGTAGCTTTTGTAGAACAATTTCACTAAAGCTAAAGCTAAATGTTTAAAAGGGGTAAACAGCTTTGCTGTTTGTTCTGTTTGGTTTTGGAAAACAGTATTAACAATATAAGGTGATCAGTCTATGGGATGAGAGTGAATGTCTTATCCTACATTGATTTTGTTAATGCACACTGTGGAAGTGAAGATGTAGTGAATATCTTGACATGGAAAAGAATGAATAATTTTATTGTTCAGTGCTTTTCTAAACATTGCATTTCTTTGGTTACCATGTTTATGTATTCTGGAGAAGAAAAGTTCTTAAATAATAGATTGATGACTGGGTAGACCCTAAAACTGCTAAGAGAAACATAGAATGTAGTTAGCTATTTGTGCTCCAGGTTTGTTGAAATCTAAGTTAACCTTAAAGGTGCTGTACCACCATCCAAAGAAAATGCCATTAAGTAGTCCTACCTTCCTAGAGCTTGCTTGATTTATTTTGCTTTTGTATATTTAATAAAAACCATCTCAAATGTTTCCTTGTGTAGTTTATGGATAATGGTTGGTTATAAAGTGTGTTATTCAATTTCAGCAGTTAACTTGGCTGGACCAGCACTCTAGACAGTCTCAGCCTCTCCTTTCCCACTGTTCTGAGGACTGACCCACAGGTTGGGCAGATAAGATACTTTCTAAGACTGATTTACATATTAAATTTAATTGGACAAATATTTTTTCGTAGTGCCACCCCATGTTTCTCTGTGTTGGAATAATTGATGTTTTCCCTTATCCCCTTGGTGCTAAAGTAGTTTAGTCAAGCATTTAAATGGAAAGGCTTAATGAGCACTTGCAGTGGAAATTAATACATGCGTGCACTTGACAGTTAAATGGAAAGGCTTAATGAGCACTTGCAGTGGAAATACATGCGTGCACTTGACAATTCAGTTGATTATAAAGGGTTTGATTAATCCAGGCCAGCATTTTCCCTCCATTTTCATAAGTATTCATTAATAAACCATAGGTTTATATTGGAAGAAAGCTAATATAAGATTTGGTCATGTCAATTTGAGTGACTTCCTAAAGTTTAATAGACTCTTGTGATTTTAAGTTGTATTTGGTTATAATACCAAAATCATTAGGAAGGTCAATCTGGGATTACAGCCTGTACTTTAAAAAAATAACCTTTCTTGCTATAACTTGGCATTTATTGTGTTGGAAAAGAAATCCCCAGTTTAAACATAAGAATGTTAAAATACTGATTGTACATTATGGTACATACTGGACCTTTGGTCCCAGGTTCGATTCCGGTCAAGGGCATGTACCTTGGTTGTGGGCACATCCCCAGTGAGGGGTGTGCAGGAGGCAGCTGATCGATGTTTCTCTCTCATCAATATTTCTAACTATCCCTCTCCCTTCCTTTCTGTAAAAAAATCAATAAAATATATTTTTAAAAAAAGAAAGACAAAAAGACTGCTGATGGTGAAAAAAGACATGTTCAATAGCCTTAGATAAGGTGAAGGAGTGAGAATTGGAGATTGTTAATCTGTAGATAAGCACTTTATACAATAAGTGTGAAAGAGGGATTAAAGTCATTCATGTAGTTTCTAGGGTGGAAAAAATGTTCTAAAATCGGAGCAGCTGTCTGAACCAAGAATTCCGTGTCTCTAAAAATGTCCAAGCAAATGCTGGCTGGATACACAGCTGTCGGGAATGATTCAGTATTGGCAGGGAGGTGACTAGATCCATAGGATCCCTCACAATTTTATTTATCTATGAAGTAGAAAAAAATGGGAGAGAGTTTGAGAGGAATAAAAAGTGAAAATTATTTAAATAATTTTAGCTTGCTTGGGTACCTATACCAATTTTCACAGTTAATACTATGTTATATACCACCCAGTAGTTACAATAGTAAAATGAGGTAAAGTGTGGCAAATAAAAATATGCAACCAAATATTTTTCCCATATGCTTTTTTCAGCATTATCTCCAGGTAAAATATACCAGAGCAGCCAGTTCATTTCTAAAAGGAAAACTATGTAGAAATTTTTTTGTCCTATAAGAGATGAAAGAGACACAATGAAATTTATCAATAAAAGCTTTAGAAATATCTGCACATACACATTTACATTCAAGTTGG